TCAGGCTGGAGATACCCCTCCCCAGAGTCCCTCCAGGACCCCAGCTCACGGTGACAGAGTCCGGCTCACAGTCCTGGGACAGCTCCAGGTCCAAGTCCTGCAAGATAAGCTTCACAGCAAAGCCCTCCGGGGCCTGGATGACAGTGGTGCTCTCTTGGCCTTCGAGGTACGGCTCTGGGTACCCTGGGGAGGTCAGCTGCTGGGGCAGCTGCTGGGCCAAGAGCACAGAGCCCTGCGTGGGGCAAGCCTGGAGGACGCCCCAGAGAAGCAGCCACCACCTGTGAGGGGGTGAGGGCAAGATGAGGCCTGTGGAGTCATGAGGAGTGGGGGCAGGCTGTGCCAAGGGACTGAGGGACCAGCTAAGGCATGAGCAGCTGTGGCCTCAGCCCTTGAGGCCTGGCACCTCTGCCTGCTCCCTATCACCCCTCTCTGCCCCAGTTCCTCCAGCCTCCTACTCAGCCTGAGTAGGAGTTTTCCACCATTGCTTATCTCCGCGGAGAGTCTCGTACAGAGTTGGGGGCTACTTTCTGCTTCAGCAGATCCCACCCCCACCCTGGGAACTGAGGGAGACATGGTGGCACAAGTGAGGGACAGTTAGATGTTAGTTTCCTGGCTTAGAGCATCGGGCTTGATCACCCCCAGGAAAGGCTGCTAGAAGCTACGGGCAATTTCTAAGTCCCCTCTGCATTAAGTGGCTCTGTGTGTGTGTGTGTGTGTGTGTGTGTACATACACCCCTGGGTCCCACCCCATCCTTTTCCTCTCCTCCAGGCCTCTCCAAGGGCACACTCACATCATGCGTGCGCAGCTTATGGAGTTGGGGCTTCCCCAGAGATAATTCTCCACCTCTGAGACCAGGCATCTGGAATGGGCCATCTGGGACCTTAGAGAGGACTTGGCCCAGGTTAGGGAACAAGAGGTGGGGCTGGAGAGGGCCCTGAGGGGGAGGAGGGAGCAGTTACTGGAAATGGGTTGAGTAATTCTCTGGTTCCTTTTTCTAATTCTCTGGGTTGAGCGCCACCTACTGTCTAACTTGGGGATAGCTCACCCACCACAACTTAAGGCAGTGGTTCTCAACCTTCCTAATGCCGCGGCCCCTTAATACAGTTCTTCATGTTGTGGTGACCCCCAATTTCATTGTTACAAATTGAACATAGTTAAAGCATAGTGATTAATCACAGAAACAATATGTAATTATATATGTGTTTTCCGATGGTCTTAGGTGACCCCTGTGAAAGGGTCGTTCGACCCCCAAAGGGGTCGCGACCCACAGGTTGAGACTAAACCGATGTGGGCTTCAGAGATCAGGGGTGGGAGGGCACTGACTCTGGGCTCTCTTGGACTATTTGTACAAAATAGTAAATGGTAGGGTGGTTCCTTGTGAGTATGGCTGTTGCCTTTAATCGGCCATACCTTTCCCTCCCTGACTTTCCACTCATTTATGTTACCAGCCTACCCATTGTTGAACTTGAAGTTTGTGATCTGTGAACTTGAGCTTCTCCCCCAAGCAAGTCTGGGGCCCTCGCTTAGGTAATCTTTTGCTCACAACCCCTGGAAGCTGCTCCTCCACCAGGGTCAAGTTGGCACAGGGCTGGGATTAGGCCCTGATTTCAGCTTCTTTAGGCAGATACCAGGGGCCATGACTAGGCACAGAGGCCACACTCCCTAGGAGACACTCACCCATGGCTTGATAGGGGGCCAGGAAGTCCTTGTGGAGGCCAGGGTTCCTGTCCTCAAAGGAGGCAGGTGTGTGGAAGGTCAGCAGCAGCCGCTACAATGGGGCTGTGATCTGAAAGGGAAGGGATGGGGGAGGGGCAGGTGTGGAGGATTCTGCACCACTAGTGGTCACCGGGTCACATCCTGGGTGGATCCAGCCTCGTTTAGAAGTTCTGCACACCTCTGGGGCTCAGAGCCATACCTCCTGGTGGCTTTGTCAAATAGTTTTACTCACCCTTTGTCCCCCTGTTCTTTGGGCCACAAAGGCTGCCATATGCCAAGAATGGCTCCTCACCTCCTCTAGTGCTGTCAGTCCACACTTCTTCCAGGAGACTCTCTGGGAACCCTTGGGGGTATTCCCAAGCAATCTGCTAGGCCGGGGCTCACATCACCAATGTCTACTAGGGCTCCTAGCCCATATACAGGGTCAGGAAATGTGTGTGGTTGAATCTTGCAAGTATGGCTAGAAAGTCTCTTAGCTGGCTTCTTCCCTTCTTCCTCCCTACACTAACCCCCTAATCCTCCTTTATTCAGCCCCACTGTTGCTTTAAGATTTTTTCTGCTACCACTCTGTGGACCTGACTTTTTCTTTTTTCTCCATCCCCACAGAATATGTACTCCCCCTTGCCCCCAACAAACACATATGGTTGTAATTTAACTGTCTAATAACAGTGAAAAAAAATTAAAGATACAAAATATACTGAAAAATGGTATACTTCTGTATATATATTTTTAAAATTTTTTCTTTATTGATTAAGGTATTATATATGACCTCTGTATGTTCTTAATCCTGTAATAGTAATAAGTAGCTCCTTCCGGGCTCTCTCCGGGTCATTCCACATGACCAGGCTCCTTCCCAAGCACCATTCCTCTGGGGTCCTCCCCTTCCTGGAGCCTTGTCCTTTCAGCCTAAGTCGATGGGACAGCTTGGGGGGCAATCCCTGTCACCCCATTCCATGAAGTAATCTCTACTCCGGTGCATGCATGCTGCTCAGGTCCCTGGTGGTGTGTATGTTCTCTTCCTTCTCCTTACTCTGCTTTTATTTGTCCCTCTCCCTCCTTCCCTCCCTTTCTCCAGGCCTTTGTGCTCTCTTTCATCCTCCTCCTTGCTCTAACTTCAGCTCTGACAACTTCCTCTCCTCTGAGCATCTTATTGCTCCATCTTCCTGGGGAGCCTCTGGCTCAAGAAGGAAGTTTCCTGTTGGGCTTAGGAATTTTTATTGTTGGCTTGACCGCCGGCGTGGCTCAGTGGTTCAGCATCGAGCTGTGGGCCAGGAGGTCATGGTTCAGTTCCTGGTTGGTCCACATGCCTGGGTTGTGGGCTTGTGTGGACCTGACTTTTCCTTCTTTCTCCATCCCCGTGGAATACTCCCCTTTGCCCCCAACAAACACATATGGTTGTAACTCAACTATCTAATAACAGTGAAAAAAAGGCCACAGACAAACTCCAAATCCTGAGGTAACTGAACTCAGGGTTTTACTGCTTCTCTCTTTTTTCTTTTCCTTTTAAATTTACTTTTCAATTACAGCTGACATATAATATTATATTAGTTTCAGGTGTACAACATAGTGATTAGACATTTAGATATTTGTATACCTTATAAAGTGATCCCCCAATAAGTTTAGTACCCACCTGACACCATAGTGATTACAATATTATTGACTATACAAGAGGCCCAGTGCACAAAATTTATGCATGGGTAGGGTCCCTAGGCATGGCTGGTGAGCAGGGATGATCGACAGGGCAATCAGGAGGGGGGCCCTGCTGGCACCCAGCTTGGCTGGCCTGGCACCACCCACTCGGCAGCCCCGCCCCCCGCTGATGCTGTGGGGTCAGGGCCTGTGGGCTGGGGGGAGCTCCTGCATTGAGCATCTGCCCCCTGGTGGTCAGTGCGCATCATAGCGACTGGTTGTTCCTGTGGTCATTCTGCCGTTCGGTCGATTTGCATATTAGGGTTTATTATATAGGATTCCCTATGCTGTATTTTACATCCCTTTGACCATTTTTATAATTGGCAATTTGTACTTCTTAATCCCTTTCGCCTTTTGTCCATCCCCTCCACCCTCTCTCCCATCTGGCAACCATCGGTTTGTTCTGTGCTCCTCTCTTTCCTTTTCCAGCTCTTCCCATAGGCTGGTTCCTATCTTCCCTGGTCGATCACCGAGCATGGATTCCTTCAGTTAATTCAAATAATTGCAGAATCTTAAATCTCTGATAAGAAATCAAACAGAGTAATGGGATTTTATCTTTATGCTTGAAAGGAGGAAAAGAGAATCCCAAAGGTATTCTTCTGGTTTAACAGATAAGCAATAATCTCACAAGTATTTGTGCTTTCTGGAAAGTAAAAGGTTAATTAAATTTTTTATGAGTAATAAGTTATCAATGATCAATCAGAATTGCAGATTTTTAACATTTATAGACTACATGGTCATAAAGCAATCATCTTTGAAGTCTGAATGTCTTTAAAGATTCCTTTGTGTAAATTACACTCCAAAGATGACACAAATACAACATGGAACAGGATTATGTAGTTTCATACCAGTGAGATGAGGTGCTTTTGGTTCTCCACTTTATCAGAATCAACTGTATGAGCAGAATCCTGTTTGATTTTCTGCAAGGCTAGGCTAACAGGGAGTACACTCTGTCCTCATCTTGCTCAGGTTTATTTTGTTGGCATTTGTGAGGCTTGCTGTTTAAAACCAAGCACCAGAATTTCATTTCAGAGGATTTAGAGGGAACAAAGGGCAGGTCTGAGGAGCTTAAAATGTACAAAAGAAAAGAACAAGTTAACAAGTGTAAATATTGGACACATTAGGTCTCTCATCTACAATTGTGAGTCAGGTCCCTCACTCCAGGCCAAGGGAGAGGGCTTGGCCTGGACGAGGCAACGGGGCTTTAGCTGGGGAAGGCTCTGGGGAGCAGGAGGAGCAGAAAGTTACTGGAAATACAGTGCTTATCAACACGACTTTAAATCTCCAGAGTAGACTCCACTGTGGTCTGGCTTGGGGATGACCGAAATAGTGGAGCTGATTTTTACCCCAATTGAGGCTTGACATTTCTGAGACCAGGAAAACCTCTTAACCACCAACAGTCAGACTTAACTGAAGGAAAAGCTAAAGAAAGTTCTCTGGGGACCAGGCCAGCTGCCTATTTTTTGTTTTTAAGTTCTCTTTCTCAAAGCCTCTATTTCCATTTCTTTATGCTCCTGGTTCTCTACCTCTGCCTTCCTTGTCTAGGCCGGGTGCTCTGGGGAGAAGGGCGAAGGCTATGTGGCAGCACCAGGACCCGACCTCGTTCATATGAGGTGGGGGAGAAGGGAAGCCTTTGGTGCAGGCAGTAGAATTCACCTCCGTGGACTCCTCCTCAGTTTCTGGTCTGCACTGTTCCTCCTTGCCCTGAGTTGGAAACCTGGAGGTTCAGCTGGTGTTTGAGGTCCTGCCTTCTCATTGGATGTCAGAGCAGGTAAGGTGGCTGGCTGTGGACTGCTTGGCCCATGGTGTTTAGAAGTCCAGGTTGGGCCACTTCTTGTCAATTGAGGGAGGAGTCAAATGAAACCCCAGAAGAGGAAACTTTCTATTGACACCTGCAAGCAAAAAGCCAGGACCAGCCAGCCCATGACCCAGAGGGGCCATAGCATGAGTCCACAGGGATCTGTCCTGGAAGGAGGGGTGCTGAACCAACCACTAGATCATAAGGGGTAGGGACCCCATAGTATGATAGTCCTTTGTTTCTCTGATTATGTTTCACTATAGCTACTCCTTTGTCATCCAGCCATCTAAACACCTAGTAGCCCTAACAATACTGGTGACTTCTGTGTTGATTGCTACCCACCCTGCCTCACTTTATTTGAATCACTCATCACTGATTCACTTTATTGTTGTTGACTTTGATAGGTCTAGCAAGATCATTAGTACCATACCCAGCAGGGTATTGGTTGGCTGCCTTCTGCATACCCCCCATTGGGGATTGAGTCTGCAAACCAGGCATGTGCCCCGAACCACAACCTCATGGTTCATAGGTTGGGGATCAACCACTGAGCCACACTGACTGGGTGAGCAATAGAAACTTTAAGAAAGAACCAAATGTAAATTCTAGAACTGAATGATGCAGTATGTGAAATTTAAAAAATTACTGGAAGGGCTTAATAGAAGAATGGAGATGGCGGAAGAAAGAGTCAGTGACCTTGAAGATAAATAGAAATTATTCAATCTGAAGAACAGAGGAAGGCATTTTTTTTTAACTGAGTAGAAACTCAGGAATAGTGGAACAATATATAAAAAAAACCCCTCTAATATGCATGTTCTTGGAGTGCTAGAAGGAGAGAAGAGAACGAGGCAGAAAAAATATTTGAAGAAATAATGGCTGGAAATTTCCCAGCTGTTGAAAAAGGCATCTATCTTCAGGTTTAAGAAGTTCAATAAATTCAAAGCAGAACTAAAAATAAACAAAAGAGCACACATGGGCCCATCAAAGTCACATTGCTGGAAACTAAAGATAAAAAGAAAATCTTGAAGGCATCCAGAGAAAAAGAACACATCGCAATCACAGAACCACATTTTCAATGTCACTGCTTTCTCATCAAAACCAGCACAGACCAGAAAGCAGTGGAACAACTTCTTCAAAACACTGGAGGGAAAAAGCGTCAACTCAGGGTTGCTTTCCCAGCGAAAATATTCTTCAAGAAAGAAGATGAAATAAAAGCATCTTCAGATAAAAAGAAAACTTAGAAAACTTGTCATCAGCAGACCTGCATTAAGAGAGACGCGAAACTTCTTCAGGCTGAAGGGAAAGAAATCCAGATGGAAGAACAGAGTCGCTGGATGGATAAAGAGAAATGGTAAATTTGTGGGTAAATATAAAATATATATTTTTCTTAATATCTTTAAAATACATATGCCTGTTTAAAGCAAAAATTATAACATTGCATTGTGAACTTTATAACATGTGTAGATTTAATATGCATGGAAACCATAGCATAAAGGATGAGGGGAGACTTACTAGTATGTGGTAACGAAGTTTCGTCATTCAACAGTAAGTCTAAAAAGACTAAAAAAGTGAAGGATGCAGTTCTCTTTAGAGCAGTGGTTTTCTATTTGTGGTCTGGGGAACGCTGGGGATCCCTGAGATCCTTTGAAGGGGATTTTGGGGCCAAAATTATTTTCATAACAATACTAAGATGTTATTTGCTGTTTTCTCTCTCTTTCTCTCATGAATGTATCAGGGCGTGACCAGAGGCTACGTGAGGTATGTCAGTATCATCCCTTCACAACTAATGGAACATGTGCTTATTTATCCTTACATTTTAAATTTTTCTCAGTTTTAATGTTTTATGCAGTGAATACGAATAGATACAACCCACACAAACAAGGGCTTTTTGGGGTTCTCAATAATTTTTAAGGGTGTAAAGCTTGAGTCCAACTGCCCTAGAGTGATCACTAAAAAAGAAAAATTAAAAAAAGAAAGGCAAAAAGGTATAGCTAAAGGCCAATAGATAAATTGAAATGAAATTCTGGACCCTAAATGGGATTAATTTGGGGGACTTGTTGCTAAAAGGGTGACCTATTAGAAATTGTCCTGGTTTATCTGAGACTGAGGGGTTTCCTGGGACACAGGGCTTTCAATCCTAAAACTGGTTCAGTTCCAGGCAAACCCAGACAGTTGGTTATTTCTAGTCCTTCAATCATCTATTTTGTTCCCCTTTCCCTTAGCTAATGTGAGCCCATAATGAGCCAAGGCTACATCTGCTCTATGCATGGGTCCCCAAATATAGGTTAAGAGGATTGAATAAAAGAAATAAAGGGAACAATCTACAAAATTGTAAGTACACAATGTTCACAAAAATAGAAACACGAGAACAATCTAAAACAACTGTGACCGGCCCAGCCGGCATGGATCAGTAGTTGAGCATCAACCCATGAACCAGGAAGTCAAGGTTTGATTTCCGATCAGGGCATATGCCCGGGTTGTGAGCTCATTCCCCAGTGTGGGTGTGCAGGAAGCAGCAGATCAATGATTCACTCTCATCATTGATGTTTCTATCTCTCTCTCCCTCTCGCTTCTTCTCTGAAATCAATAAAAATATATTTTAAAAGGTAAAGAAATAAAACAACTGTGACCATATTAGAGTATAAGGCTATGGGTGACTTAAAAAATGTTTCTCTGTTTAGTGAAATTTATGTGATGTTATTAAATCACTTTAATAATTATAAAATAAATGTATTTAAAATGATAATTGTGACCAGATGGCCCCTTCTAAGACAAACAAGATTAAAAGGATGAGGTCCTGGATCCTGAAGATGATGCTAAGACCCTGGCTCCAGTGGCATCTTTAGGCCGTGTGATCATTGAAGAACTTTTTGCTCTTGGATATAAGCTTAGGCCAGGCATGATTCTTTCAACCTTGGGGAGCTCATGTCTGAAGACACCTCATGTCCCACTGTCTCAACTCTTTCCCCTCCATTGGAATTTGTTTCTCATTGACTGAGAAGGGGCAAAGGGCAGAAGCAGGGAGAAGGGACAGTCTTCAAAGTTGTGATGTGAGGGTTGGGGAGGGTGGAGAGAAAGCCGAAGTCCATGGGTGTGAGTGTAAGAAGTGCATAAACATGTTTTCAGAATTTGGATTGTTATTTTTGAAATTCCCGCTGGTGCTGCCACCTGCTGTCCTGCATAGGGAAGGACTTCCTGTGGCAAATGTCTGACTTTTACCGGTTGCTCTATATTGTCTTTTAATATCTAATAGCTACAATCTGAACTGTTCTGATAATTTCACCCTCCCTTACGGTAATGGACATACTAAGCTGCCGGCTGGGTGGTTTTTGATATGTGGGGTAACTATGTATTCATATATCCCTGCCAGCAGGACTGGGAGGCCTTGTTCCTTAGGACGACTGACTGTCTTTATGCCCCAGAAACATCACAGGGTCTGAACCAAAAGGGATCTTCTCACAGCCGTGGCACTGGACTGCAACGGCGATCTCCAACTGGGAGTCCTGCTGAATATATTGCTTTACCATTTTTGTTATGCTGGTAATGGTAGGCTCCCTTAAGGTGGAAGTGGCCCAGCTGACTGGTAGCAAAGTAAAAGCCCTGAATGCCACTTCTAATAACGACAATACCTGGGGTAAATCAAGAGCTGAGCCAGGTCAGGGAGGCAATTCTAGAGAATCAGGCTTCATTTTTCTCCTGTTTATTTTTGTAGCCTGACTGCTTGCTGCTGTATTCAATGTCTTCCTCATTTTAGATCCTGCATTCCCTATATTTCATCCCTGCCAACTGCTTTCAAGGCAGAAGCCAATGCAGTCCAGCAGGATGAGACTTTTCACTTAAAACTGATCTCATAGATATGAGATGAGAGAAATAGCAGTGAGGAATGTTAGGGGCAGAAATGGAATAGTGGGGATGCTATAATTATAAGATATATTAATCATGCTCATGTGATTGTTCTAGTGTGATAAGAGAAAACCTAGCTGAGAGTTGTACGCCCCAGGACATGGGAGCCAACATCGGAATGCAGTCCAACCTCCTTGTCTGAGAACTGCCTATCATTATGGAAAGATTAACAACCTTGTTGCTGAAACAATCTAGTCCCAGAGGCGCCAGCCCTTTGCCTGCCCTTTTCGACCCCCAGCCCCTATTGCTTGTAATCTGGTCCCAGAGGCACCTGGAGGCACCTGCTCTCCATGACCTCCTCCACCACCCCTCCCCACCCCCAGCCCGCATTGTCTGCAACCTGTAACCATTATACCTTGCCTACTTTCCCATGCCTGTAATTCTTACTTTCCCATGTAATCTTTGTCCTTCTACCCAAAATAAGCAGCTGGCTTATGGGGAAGGGGAAAACAGATTTTTGTGGATGACCCACTGCTCTCCCATACCACCGGCATTATTGGAATAAATACTCATATATGATTCAACCCTGTCTCTGCTTAATTGGCTCAAATAGTGACAGGCAACCCTGACCCATTGGTTGTCCGGTTTCAGTTTGATTGGGGCTGGAAGGGCTGCTTCCAAGATGGCTGGCTCACAGGGCTGTGGGCAGGGGCCTCAGTTCCTGGACACACAGCCCTCTTCACTGGACACTTGAGTGTCCTGATGACATGACAGCTGACCTTCCCCAGAGTAATCTAAGATAGAAAGAACAAGGCTGAGCCCAAAATGTCTTTTTAAAAGATTTTTATTTAATTCTGGTAAGAATGCTTAACATGAGATCTATCTTTTTTAAAAATATATTTTTATTGATTTCAGAGAGAAGGGAGAGGGAGAAAGAGATTAAAACATTAATGGTGAGAGATAATCATTGATTGGCTGCCTCCTGCACGCCCTCTACTGGGGATCAAGCCTGCAATCCTGGCATGTGCCCTTGACCGGAATCAAACCCGGGACCCTTCAGTCCGCAGGCCGACCCTCTATCCATTGAGCCAAACTGGATAGGGTGAGATCTATCTTCTTAACAAATTTTAAGCTATTGACACAACATTGAACAGAAAATCTCAAATGTCTTTTATAACCTAGCCTTGGACGTGACATAGTATCACTTCATAGTATCATATCATATTCAGTTGGTCACACATACCAACCCTGATACAGTGTGGGAGGGGGCGACACGCGGATGGGAATGTCATGGAGCAGGGATCCCTGGGGCCATCTCAGAGGCTGGCTATCACTGAAGTAGGTATGTCATTTTAGTACAATAAATGCAGAAGGTCAGTGGGCAGGATGTTATTTTTGCCAGGCAGGATTGTAGTTCAGATGGATTAACCTGAAGCCACAGTGCCCTTGGGGACACTGGCCCTCTCTCTCCTCTTCCACCCTAAGATCTGAAGGGCCCCTTCACCCATCACCATCAAGGAATAGGACTGCACAGATAAAACAATGACTTACAGCAGACAAAACACAAGAGGACGTGGGGCTTTGCAGGGGGTGGGGGGGATAGTAAAGGTTGCAAACTACCATGAAGCTGTGGAAAAGGAGAGGGAATGGGCAGGAAGGAGGAGCCCTCCCAACCTAGGGGAGGGTAACCTTAGTGAGTCCAGAGAACCTAGGACTGTGGTCTCACACCAGCAGATTGTCCAAAGGGCAAGTTCAGAGGCTGGAGGTTCCACTTCCAAATCTCCCATCCCTGGGGCTTTGCTTGGACTTTGAAGCCTGAAGTCAAGTCCTTCAGTAAAGGATTCCTTAACCATACTGCGTATGTGCCTTGCTTGCTAATAGCAAGGCTGTTCTGCTATATCCTGCACCATCCCTTCATTTCTCATGAGGAGTTTATAAGTGAAGCTGCATTTGTATCCTATATAATAAAAGCCTAATATGCTAAGTATCTGGTCATCCGGTTGTTCGTTCAACCAATCAAAGTGTAATATGCTAATGATATGCTAAGGCTGCTCAACCACTCGCTATGATGTGCACTGACCACCAGGGGACAGACAGTTGACCTGTCAACTAGTTGCTATGATGTGCACTGACCACCAGGTGGCAGATGCTCTGACCAATAGGTTAACTTGCTGCTGGGGTCCGGCCAATCAGGACTGAGCGAGACAGGCCGGACATGCCCTGGAGCCCTCCTGCTGTCCCTCCTCAGCTGGCCAGCCTCCATGTCCCTCCCCGCCCCGATTGTGTACCCGTGGGGTCCCTCAGCCTGGCCTGTGCCCTCTCATAATCCAGGACCCCTCGGGGGATGAGGGACTCCACTGGTCCACGCATTTGTGCACTGGGCCTCTATTTTTAGATAATCAACTTGGCATATTATTCTCTGCTTTAGTTTCCTTTGTTTCTGCCAAGACTTTAATAAATCCTTATTCAAACGGTGCCCCCTTGTTCCATCTGTGCTACTCAGAAAGAAAGTAGTAGGAAAGAGAGGTGCACCCTTATCCCATCTGTGCTATTCAGAAAAAAAGTGGGAGAGAAGGGAGAGGTGAGCGGTAGCGTTGGTGAAGGGAGCCACCTGGTGGAGGAGGA